GCAACGTGTGATGCCTGGGCCATTGCCCTGGGCCCTCCGCAGACACCTGGGCTGTCACCAGTGTTCCTCAGCACCCACCTCAACACCCTCTCTGCTTGCAGCTTCTGCCTGTGTCTCAACAAAGCCTTCACCCGTGACAAGACGGGAGAGATGGAGGACAGCAGTTCCCCGCTGTTGTCCGCTGATGCCTCCCTGCGCCCGTGGAAGCTCCAGGACCCACCCACAAGCTACCTGCCGCCCCAGCTGTGCATCTTCCTGGACCCTGAGGAGGCCACGGGCCTGGGTGTGGCCCGCCCCCTGCACTTCCAACACAAGCAGGCCCAACTGCAGGCCCTGGAGACCACGGCCAACGTTCTGAAGCGGCGGATTGACATGCTGACCAGAAAGCTGCACAAGCCCGAGGCCCCGAACGCACCCCAGGACCTGGGTCCAGGCCCGCCTCCCCCCCTGCTGCCCAGCACTGAACCAGCCCCGGTCTGGCCTACAGCCTTGGTGCCCAGTGGGGAGGCAGGGGCGTGTCTCTCTTCCCCCTGCCTGCCGGTCACTGAGGCACTGCCCTGGCGCTCTGGCCAGGAGTCGTGGCATCGTGCGAGCCCGTGGGACCAACGTACAAGCAGTCTCCAAGGTAAGATGGCGCCGGGCCTCAGAGGGCCCCTGGGCTGGGGACAGGTGGGTCTTCATTTCCCCACTGGAGGCCCTTATGCCTGAGACTTGCCTCCCCCCACTCCAGCTTCCCTCTTCCAAAAGGGGCTGCACCATGACAATGTGCTCTGGGTCCCTAGTGGTGCAAGAGGTTAAGTGCTCCCTGCTGACCAAAGGGCTGGAGGCTCCAACCCACTCGGGAGTGGGAGACGGGCCTGGCCATCTACTTCCAGAACATCAGCCCTTGAGAACCCTGTGGGGACAGTTCCACTCTGACACGGGGACGCCAGGAGGTGGAGTCGACTGCAGGGCCAGTGCTCAGTTGTCCAGAAGATTGCAGGAGGGGACGTGGCTGAGCTTCCGGCTCAGCCCGTGAGACGTGCTATGTCCCCACGCCTGTCTTGGCCGTGGGTGGCAGAGGCAGTGAGGCCTGCCTGCCGGTGCTCCCCCTGCTCCCCTGCCAACCCCTGCCCTCCCTTGGCCCGGGGAGGGCAGTCACGGTGCCCGTCTCTCTGCAGGGCTCACGGGGCACAGACCTTCTACAGTGGAGCAGAGGCTGCCGAGAGCTGCAGGCTCCTTCCGTCCTGAGAGCGCCTTTGCAGGCAGGTAAGTCCACAGGGCGCCTTGAGGGTATCCCTAGGGCTCACCCCACACTGCCTGGCTCTGGCTGGGAGTCGGGCTGCAGTCAGGCTGGTGGGGGTGGCACAGCTCCTGACATGTCTGGGAGAAGCCCCAGGACAGGCCCAGGTTGTGTGGGCTCGGAGGCGCCCACATCGCAGGGTGGCTCCTGGCCCCCACTCCGCCTGCGCCGTGCACAGTGGGCCCTGACGCCCCCCCCCCATGATGGGGAGCGTCCCTGCAGACGCTGCTTTGTGTTGCATGGGCTCCAAGCCCTCAGGGCTGGTGCCAGATGCCAGATTCCAGGCTCGTAGCCTTGAACGCCCTGAGTCCCACGGCCTCAGGACCGTCTGACCACAGAGCCTTGGGCCTTCCCCTCACTCCCCTGATGTCATGGGCCCTGGATGGCGCAGAGGTTAAGCGCTCAACTGAGAACTGAAAGGGTGAACCCACTCGGCCAGGCCACGGAAGACAGGCTTAGCAGTGTGCTCCCGTAAAGACTGCAGGCAGGAACACTGGAGAGTTACTCTGTACACATGGTCTCGACCCCACAGCAAGGGGGCTTTTGTGGATGCCCTCCTCCCCTGCACCCCACTCTGCCCTTTGACGCCTCCCTTGACTTCACGAGGTGTGGGTTTGGACTGGCCTGGGGATGTGGTCCTTTGGGGTCCGGTCCTCCTACCAACGGATGTGTGGCTGCATCTGCACCTGAGCTGACTTCTTGTGGCCAGCAGGGGGCAGCATCGGCCGACCTCTGGTTCTATGCAAACTCCTCCACCCCCTCCCCCTCCCTCCAGCCTTGTAGGGGATAGGTGGGGTGGGGTGAGGTTGACTCCGGGGCGCTAGACCCCAGCGTGGACAGCAGATTCATACATCTCGGCTGCTGGGGGCTGGCAAGTCCTCACAGCCTGTCCTCAAGCCGATGACCTCAGCATTCCTAGACGGGGCTGGCCAGGGCCGGGAGGGCCAGGGGAGCCCTGGGCTCCTGGAGCTGCATTCCCATGGGCCCTGACGTGCTGGCCGCAGGAGAGGCCGGACGGGTGACGGCATGGCCTGGCAGGGTGCTGTCCCCAGACCCCTCCTCGCAACATCCTACCCACGCTCACACTGTGTCTGTCTGTCCCCAGCTCACACGGGGTGCCTGCCACGCCAGACCCCCCCTGCAGCTCCCTGCAGCTGGAGGAGCTGCTGGCAGCCAGGAGGGTTGGCTCGGAGAAGCCCTGGACCACCCAGACCTGCGGTAAGGGCAAACCCGTGGACCAGCCCTGGGCAGGCCGGTCAGGGGGCCCGGGAGGGCTGCCGGGGACCCCGCTGCCACGTAGCACCCTGAGCCTCGGGTCTGCAGGGTAGGGAGATGGCATCTGCATGGCGGCATCCATGTCAGCATTAAAGTTTTGTGGAGGCCTGCGTCTGTGGCGTGCTCTTGGCGCACCTGTGTTGTCATGGGGTCCCTCCGTTAAGGCTTGAGTCACCTCAGACAGCACTTCCTTAGAACGTTCTGGAAACTCTGCATTCTTTTCTTGTTCTTTTGCTACTTAAGTGTTTCTATCCCTGGAGGCAACTGGCCTGGGTCACAGAGCTAATGGATGGCAGGTGGGGTGGCACCACGTGTGTCCCTGAAATCCCCGCTGTGGGCCAGCTGCCCATCCCCAGTTCAGGGCTTCTGTTGGGCAGCAGGGATGCCTGTGTGAAGACCATGCCCGGGCGGGCTCAGGGGAGGGGGAGCTGAGAGACCCCTGTCGCAGACTGAGTGACAGTGGGTGTCATTAACGGCTTAAGCTTCCTTTCTCACTGACTTTCTTCGAAAGAGCAAAGTTAGTTACAGGAGGAAACCTGGTGGTGATCTGTCGTAGAGGGCTGGGCACTGTGGGTGCTCCAGGGTGACCGCATACACCGGCCCCTGCCCAGGCCCTTGGAGGCAGCCCCCATAGAGCCCACCTTCTACTGAGGTGAGCCGATGCTGCCCATTCACAGGGAGGCCGTGGGGCCCAGGGCGACGCAGGCCTGGTGGGGGTCAGCGGGAGCCAGGCTTTCCCTCCACGTCCCCCAGAGGGGCTAGAGTGGTTTCAGTCCTGGGGTCCAAAGTCCAATGGACCCAGGCTCCCAGCTGGCTCCCCAGGTGCCTGCTGCGGGTGGGCACAGGCCCCCACCCCTACCCAGGAGCAGTTCCTGATGGGCAGTGAGGCCCCATCCCCGGTGCACAGACCCCCGGCCCAGGAGCCACAGGGGCTGACACAGCCCCTGGTTTGCAGCCAGATCCCTTCCCCGCTGTGCCACTGCTGGGTCAGGGCCTGCATGCGAGTGTGTGTGTGTACAAGGACATGTCGGGGGTCACACCTCGTGTGTGTGTGTGTGTGTGTGTGTGTGGAAGGAGACGTGTCAGGGCTCATGTGTTGTGTGGGTGTGTGTACAAGGACAGGTCGGGGGGTCACACCTCGTGTGTGTGTGTGTGTGTGTGTGTGTGTGTGGAAGGAGACGTGTCAGGGCTCACGTGTTGTGTGGGTGTGTGTACAAGGACAGGTCGGGGGTCACACCTCGTGTGTGTGTGTGTATGTGTGGAAGGAGCACATCAGGGCTCACGTGTTGTGTGGGTGTGCGTATGTGTGCAGAAGGGGCCTGTTGGAGATTACACCTCTATATGTGTATATATCTGTGTATGTGAAAGGACATGTGTATGGATGGGCCATGTCAGGAGTCACACTTGTGTGTGCACGTGCATGTGGACAGGGATGTGTTGGGAGTCACACTGTGAGCCTCTGGGGCAGTGGGGTCTGCACCCCTGCCTTGGTCCCCTCCCCTGATGTCACCCCCACCCTTTCTCACTTGCTCTGGGAGATGCTCCCTGGGGGATCTCAGAACCCCGTACCCCATGACTCTGACCCTGGGGCCTCAGAGCAGCTCCGTGGCCATCAGTGCCCCGGTCTGTGGCTCCGTTGTCCACTCAGTAGGAACACGAGGGTCCTGAGCCACATGCGGGGGAAGAACCCCCCCCCCCAAGGGAGAAGCAGGTGGGATGCCGGCCGGAAGGCCCCCTGTGTGTCTCCAAGCCCTCACCCCCGGGCTCATGGCCCTGGGAATGGACACAGATGCCAGGACTCTGCCTATACCTCTGATCTGACCTCCTGGGTGGATTTGCAGATGTCATGCCCCAAGGCTGCCCTGCAAGTGTCCTGGGGCCACTGTACCAAAGCACTGCAATCCCAGACCACACCCACTGCCCTGGAGTCGAGTCCACTCACAGCCCCTAGAGAACAGGGTGGAACTGCCCACAGAGTCTCCCAGGCTGTCAGTCTTCACGGAAGCAAAGCCCAAATCACACCCACTGCTGTGGAGTCCATTCCGACCCACAGCGCCCCTAGAGGACAGAGTGGAACTGCCCCACAGGTTGGCCAAGGCTGTCCATCTTTAAGGAAGTAGACTGACATATCTTTCTCCTGGAGAGCAGCCGCTGGGTTTGAACCACTGACCTTTTGGTTAGCAGCCAAGCACTTTAATCACTACACCACCAGAACTCCTTCACCACAAGCCAGGAGGCTTAGAACAGCAGTGTCCTCTCAGTCTGTAGGCAGAAGCCCAGGTCCAAGTCCAGGGGCAGTGGGACTGCTCCCTCCAAAGGCTTTAGGGGAGGGAACCTCCTTGCCTCTTCCAGCCGCTGGGGCCCCAGGCATCCCTTGGCTGGTGGCTGCATCCCTCCAGTCTCTGCTCTTCCTCTCTGGGTTGCCTCTGCCCTCTTGTTGTGTTGTTGTTGTTATGTGCCATCAAGTCGGCCCCGACTCATAGCGACCCCTCCTTGGGTTTCCGAGGCAGTATCACTACGGAAGTAGGATTGCCCAACCTTCCTTCCGAGGAGTGGCTGGTGGGTTTGAACCGCCAGCCGTCTGGTTAGCAGGCAAGTGTCTTAGCCACTATGCTACCAGAGCTCCCTCTGCCCTCTTAGGACTCCTGTAAGCAGCTGGGTTTAGGGTCCCTCCTCCAGTGAATCCCTGGGTGGTGCCGTTAGGTGCTTGCCTGCTCACCGAAAGCCTAGAGGGTTGAACGCAGCCTGAGGTGCCTCAGGACAGGGCTGCTGACCTGCTTCTGAAAGGCCACAGCCTTGCAAACCTATGGGGTTGCCGTTGCCACGGATCGGGCTCGACTCGCCGAGAGCTGACTCCTCATACTAAGACCCTGCTTCCGCAGAAGAACATGTTCTGAGGTCCTGGGGGACAGGAATGTGGGGGGCCCTGTTCAGTCCTCCCCAGTGGTACGAACGGGCCATGATCTCAGAGCTGTGAGGGTGAGGCTGACTCCTGCAGGGCTGGCCCCTTGGGGGGTGTGGGCCGGGCAGGCTCTGACTCTTGCCTGCAGATGGGAGCAGCCCTGGTCCACACTCCACGGGGACAGGCAACGGGAGTGGCCCCTTACTCCCAGGCGGACGTCCAGCACAGGCCCTGCAGTGAGCGTGGGGTGTGGCCTGGCCGTGGCTCCAGGGACTGCAGGGATGGCTCTTACCACTGCCTGCACGCTGGGGGCCTTCGGCACCTGGGGCCCTTTGCCGGGCTGACGACTGCCGGGAACCCTGGGTGCAGTGAACGGTCTGGAATGTTCTGTCAGTGGGGTGGTGATTCAGGCTGCGCAGGTGCAGGGAGGTGCCAGGACAGGCAGTGGGCAGCCGCGGAGGTGACCCCACCGCAGAGTCCTTCGTGTGACTGCTGTTGGGTCCCTGTGCCCGCCCCCTGCCTCTGCTCCGCTGCAGCGGCCACGCCACCTGGTGGCGGCAGCGGGTGCCTGGGGGCGTGTGGAGGGGAGGCAGTACCAATGTCTCCCAGACATCTCAGGGTGGTGGGGCGGCCACTGGAAGCCTGGGTGCAGGAGGCACCACGGGGGAGAAGGTAGCTGATGAGTGTGGGCCAGGCCCTCGGCCCCAGGGCCGCAGCGTCCCTGCTGACTGACTCACTGGTGCACGCTGGGGAGTCGCCCTGTGTGCCTGGATGAGGACAGACAGGAGAACTGATGTCAGAGCCGCCATCTCTCAAGATCCTCCCCACCCCGAGCGCCACTCGGGCAAGGGCCTGGGAACCACCCCTCAGAAAGGACTGATGGAGAGGCCTGATTGGAGGGTGACCACCAGTCCCATGGTCCCACCCACACCCACTTTGCCACCTCCCAGAGGACACGGGCCAGGGCAGAGTGGTCATCGGGGACAGTGTCCCTCTGCCTGCCTCTGGCGAGGAGTCCTTTCTGGGCCCTGTGTGGTCTGGCTGGGGGGCTGCTGGCTGGGGGGCGCCCAGCCCCTAGGGATCCACTTGTGCCCTTCAGAGCAGCCTGCGCCCTTCCCTGGCGCTACCTCACCAGGACGTGCCTGGGGTGGGTGGTGGGGTCTGGCCCCCGGTTCCCAGTCCTCCTGCAAGAAGGCGGCTGGTCTGCCCTCCACCCTGTGCTGGGCCCTGTGCAGCCTGGCATCCCCCAGCAGGGTCCCTGCTGCTCCTACTGCCCCCAGAATGGTGGGAGTAGGGTATCTGGTAGTCAGTGCCCAGCGTGAGCTCAGGGTACCTGCTGCACAGCAGAGTAAGAGGCAGGGCACCTCCTCCAGGAAGCCCTCAGGATGCCCAGGCCTGGTTAGGTACCTGCTGTCTGCCACAGTAATGTGCTCTGTGGTGTGGGCATGGGGCATGTGTCTATGCACTTGTCCCCTCCAGGCTGTGAGAATCCTGAGGGGAGAGACCACATCTGGTTCTCATCATGGCTCCAGGCCCTGGAACAGCACCTGATGGGTGGGCACAGGGTCCCTGGTGAGTGATGAGAGAGTGAGTGGGTGAGTGAATGGATGATGAGTGAGTGGGTACCTCCTGTCCCTGGGCGGGCACTGCACCCATACACCATGCCTGGTCATCCTCATCACTTGGGGGCGCCCTCCTCACGCCACACTCAGAGAAGCTCCACCGTTGCCAGCTAGTCACTGGCAGAGCCAGGATTCAAACCCAGTTCTAAGCCCGCCCTCCAGCTTTTACCACTGGCAGCAGCACTGTCTGACAGAGCTTTCTGGACGTGAACGTCTGGACCAGCACTGCCCAACAGAACCTTCTAGACTCGAGCACAGAGGCCACTGCTGCCTGATGGAATCTTCTGGACTTGCACATCTCGGCCAAACCAAAACCAAACCCACTGCCATCGAGTCGATTCCGACTCATAGTGACCCCCGTTGGCTTTCCAAGGCTGTCAATGTTTACAGAAGTAGATTGCCTCATCTTCCTCCTGCGGAACGGCTGGTGGGCTTGAACCGCTGACCTAGTTTGCAGCCAGATCCCTTCCCCACTGTGCCACCAGAGCTCCTTCATATCCAGGCCAGCTGTCCAGTAGAGTTTTCTGGGTGATGGAATGTTCTAGATCTGAGCTGCCCAGTGTGGCAGCCACCAGTCCCATGGGACTGCTGAACCCTTGCAGTGTGGCCAGTGTGACAAAACAGCAGAATTTTACACTCCGTTTCCTCTCATGTCAGTGAAGGGCGAACGGCCTGTGTGGCTGCCACAGTGGGTGGCTCAGTTCCAGGCTCTCCCACCCAGGGGTGGGTGTCCCATCTTCCTCAGGCCCAAGACCCATATCTGAGATGGCATCCGGAAGATACACTGTGGGGAGCAAAGGGCTGGATTCTTGGGGATCCTCACTGTCACTCGAGGGGCTGGAGAGAGGGACTAGGGTACCCCCAGTCCTCGGGGCTGCTCTAGCAGTCTCTGAACCATGCCCGGTGCAGGACAGCACACTTCCTCCTGAGTCACAGCAAATCCAGAGCTCAGGGACCCTTAGCCATGAAATTCAAGCTGGATTCAGAAGAGGGTGTGCAGTGAGGGATATCATTGCTAGTGTCAGATGGATCTTGGCTGAAAGCAAAGAATACCAGAAAGATGTTTAAACTTCTGTTTCATTGACTATGCAAAAGCATTCGACTGTGTGGATCATGACAAATTATGGATAACATTGAGAAGAATGGGAATTCCAGAACACTTAATTGTACTCATGAGGATCCTGTACATAGACCAGGAAGCTGTCATTCAAACAGAACAAGGGGACACTGCATGGTTTAAAATCAGGAAGGGAGAGCATTAGAGTTGTATCCTTTCACCATACTTGTTCAACCTCTATGCTGAGCAAATAATCCAAGAAGCTGGACTATATGAAGAAGAATGTGGCATCAGGATTGGAGGAAGACTCATTAACAACCTGTGAAATGCAGATGACGCAACCTTGCTTGCTGAAAGCGAGGATGACTTGAAGCACTTACTGATGAGGTGGAAGACTGCAGTCTGCAGTATGGGTTACACCTCATCATAAACAAAACAAAAATACATCTGGACCAATGAGCAGCATCATGATAAATGGAGTAAAGAGTGAAGTTGTCAGGTATTTAATTTACTTGGATCCACAATTAACACCCATGGAAGCAGCAACTGAGAAATCAAATGATGTACTGCACTGGACAAATCTGCAAAAGATCCCTGTAAAGTGTTAAAGAGCAAAATGTGCCTTTGAGGACTCAGGTGCGCCTGACCAAGCCATGGTGTTTTCACCCACCTCTTATGCATGTGAGAGCTGGACAAGGAATAAGGAAGACCGAAGACAAGTTGATGCCTTTGTACTGTATTGCCAGGGAATACTGAAAGTACCGTGGACCGCCAGGAGGATGAACAAACCTGTCCTGGAAGAAGTGCAGCTGGAGTGCTCCTTGGAAGTAAGGATGGTGAGGCTGTGTCTCACATACTTTGGACGTGGTATCAGGAGGGACCAGTCCCTGGAGAGGCACATCCTGCCTGGTAAAGTAGAGGGTCAATGAAAGAGGGGAAGACCCTCCGGGAGATGGACTGACGCGGTGGCTGCCACGGCGGGCCCAGACTCAGCGCGGCTGGTGAGGATGACGCAGAAGCCCGCGGAGCTCGTGTTGTACGCGGGCTCCCTGTGAGTGGGAGCTGACTTGACAGCACCAAACGACAACCACCACGCCAGTGCGCCACTGAGCAGGACTGGGACCTGGTCTGTCTGATGGCAAAGCTGTGTTCTGGCCTCTGTCCACCCCAGGAGGGGCCAGGCCAGGGGGATGGGAGGGCGCAGGTAAGGCGCAGCTGTCCCTTCTGCTGCCCTGGGACGTGTGGGTGCAGGGGTAGACCCCCCCGGCCAGGCTGCCAAGCCCAGCTCTGTGCTCAGTTTCCTTCTAGGTCAGAGCAAGCATTGACCCCTGGCTGCTCCAACCTGCTCAGGAGCCTGAGGACACAGTGAGGGGACCAGAGGGGCCCTTCGGCCACTCAGCTGTCCCATCTCCATGGTTCTGCAGGTGGGCAGGAGCCTGGCGGGCCACGTCTGGGGGAGCTGCAGGGCGACCACCTCACCAACATCTGGCAGAAGTCTTTGAGCTTTCTCGAGTCCCTGAAGGTATGTCCAGCCCGTCCTGTCCAGCAGAGAATGCCACGGGCGCTTGGGCCTATTGTGTTTGGGGGTGAGCTGGGAGGGCCTTTGTCCCCAAGCTCAGGAACAAGCAGGAAGGCTGGAGAAGACCTGTCCCCAGGGCCTGCCTGCCTTCCCTGTCTGAGGGCAGCAGCCTGGCCTGCTGGGACCCTCAGACCGGGCTTTCCCCAGCTGGACCAGCAGAAGCAGGCAGGGGCGCTAGCCCTTCTGCGGCAGCGGGCGGAGCGTGAGGTCATCGAGACGCAGGCAGCCCTGGACAGACTCTTCTTCCGGCCCCAAATGCAGGTCAGTGGCATCCCCCAGGGCTCCATGGGGCTCCCAGGGCCCCATGATGCCCCCCCAGGGCTCCATGGCATCCTGTACCTCCAGGTGCCCCAGTGGCC